TCAAGTTCTGCTTTCTGAAATTAAGAACAACAGTGGACTACTTTGGCTTTTGTTGCTCTGGTCAGGTGGTGACTCTTAGGTATGTTATGGTCACTGTTTGAGAGAATAGTAAATTAGGTCCAGTACTCTGCCTTGGACCAAATCAAGAGTTGTTTCTCCTTTTGTGTCTTCCCTAACCAGATGTTCCTTAAGAAGTCATAACTAGCATCTAAACATTCACACTTAAGATGTAACAACTGCTTGGTCTACATAGAGGCATCAGAAGTTTCCCACTGCCATTGTGTTTTCGGCCATTGCAGCCTCCCTCATCTTCATCATACCAGTTAAGTGAGCTGATGGAATTAATCCTCTAAGGTTAGCAGACATTTCCATTTATTTATAGGTTGAGAAGTCACCAAACGTGTTAATAATGTCCCTTGTATTAAGTGAGGGAATACTTTTTCTGATTTAGAACGCCAAATGGAACATGTATCCTAGAAAGAAATGTATCAGACCCTAGAAGTGCCTGCTTCTCTCTACTGAGTATAGAGGGAGTCCAGGCGACTAGCTCGAATGTAAGCATCTGCTTTTGGATAGATGAATCTTGCCAGTAACTGACTGAAAAGTTACTCTTCTTGTTTTTCAGATTATATTATTCATATATCCCAATATGGCATTTGCATTTTTTGCAACAGTGTGACCTTGTTAATAAAAGGTGCAAGTATCTCTTATGATCCTGTTCACTTACACAATTCGAGGCAGGTTTTGGAACAGCACTCCATGCAGTGTTTCATGCAAGGCCAGGAAGTGGCAACGCTTTGCACACACACGTCACTGTTGCCACACTTAATCAAGCATCAGGAACTTTTCAAACTTGCCTTTTTCTTCTCTCATGCATTACCATACCCTCATATTTTTCAAGAAGTAGAATTTACTGTACTGGCAATCAGTCAATCACAGTTTGAGACCTGTATAGCAATGCACACCATGTGGGAATAGTGGAAGAAAAGGCAAATAAAAGACAGAACTGGCAACTGATCAGGTGATGACAGTACCAGCGGTTTTTTTGTGCTTTTTCTTTTCCTGGGTTCATTTTAGCTCTAGTCTTAGTTTTGACTTTTTCCAAATTACATCTTCTTTGAAAGAACAGAAATAGGAAGAAAGAAATAGCTAAAATACAACCTTGCTGCTGACAGCCAGCCTGTCTGGCTGCAATGGACTGAAATTTCTTCTTACCTGTATTTATGAGTTTAATAAAAGCCTGTGTTTACTTGGGTGCTTGCTGTTGTTCACTTTTCCATATAGGGACTAAGAAGCTGCAACTATGCCAAAAGGTTTAACTGAAGTAAAGACAAGCTGATAGACCCAACGAGCATTATAAACGAAAGAGTTACACCCCCATGTTCCCAGATTAATAAGCACTAAGTGTTTCACTGAAATCAATACTAATTTGACACATGAATGAATTCTTACCCAGGACAAACCGTAAATTTAACAAAGCACAAACATCTTCTGTACATCAATAATCCCCTCATCCCAAAAGTTGCATAAAATAAGGCCAATATGCACTTTACTTACCAGGTGCATATCATGACAACATGTTTTATGACACTTTGCCACAAAGCAACATATGTATTAATATCGATTACTCATTATATTTTCCATATGTGCCATGACTAGGAGCACATATAGCATCCTAATTTTCCTGACCTCTGAATTTGTGATTATGAGGTTATTTCACAGTTAGACGAACCACGCTGAAAGTCTAATGTATCCAGAGCCTATGTCATACTTGCTTCTAGTTTAACAGAAGTTGTTACGGTAGACCTTACCCGTTGGCTTTAGCAAAGCAGTCAAGGCAACTTTGCTATGCCATCAGCCGGCTCTCTAAGCACCCTCGGATGAATCTCATCCACCCTTCTGATTGCAGAGACAGGAGCGCGAAGACTAGCATAATCACTGTACCTGCAGTAAGACCAAGATTTTATGCGTTAGAGACAAATGAGTCAGGGAATAAAATGACTCAGGTTTAAAACTCAGGTCTAAGCATGACCATGAGAGTTGCAAGAATATTGAGATCGCATGGTGAAAATGAATCTCATAATGTTCAAAACTCACATTAATTTTAGCACAGAGGAAATGAAAAACAGCATATATTTAACTGTCTGTTTGAAAAAGGCTAGAAGTCAATCACCTAAGAGTGATTTTAGGTGCCTCTTGCTGCTCTTTAGAAACATCTTGATCTGCTCCATTTCCAGAAGGTGATGATCTAGGATAACAGTCATCAAGTACGAGAGATCTTCTGTGACATTCAGACAGACTCTCATCTTGTTTGAGGGAAATTCCTGCCTTAGGCAGTAGCAGGAAACTCTACATGAGATACTGTGAACCTGCAAATATTTTGAAAAATCATCCAGTATCTGAGATATAGGTAAGAGCATCCTGGAGGACGTTGGAGAGATGTAGCTCTCTGAGAGGACTGGTTAACAGGTACAGAATAACGAGGAGACTACTGGGGTATCAAAATCAAGTTGAGCCTTTCCCGATTGTGCAAAGACTGGGGGCAAAAACTGGACTGAGCTGCGGCAGTTTCAGCCTGAAAGTACTTTCTTGCACCAAGCTTGCCTCTAAGTTCACAATTTTCTAAAAACTGTCCATCACTGGAGCTTTGCTCTATAAGCTTAGCGTGGACAGTTCAGAGTGACTATTCAAACCACTGGCTGTGTTTGTTAGTTTTGTTTTGACATAGTTGTGATATGTTTCCGTTCTTCAACCGAGTGTTTTTACTTCTGCAAGTCAATATCCTGGTTCAAATACCTATGCTTATAGATTCAGAATTCAAATTTTAACAGGAAGTTTTCTGATGAAAACAGTAGCACAAAAAGTTTAATTTCTGGTTTGTTGCTTTGATTTGCTCTTGATATAGTCCAGTGATATGATATGATAAACTCTTGTTTAGGTCTTTTAATACTGAATCAAAATGCCAGATGTAGCAAAAATGCCAAAAAATGGTAACATGATACAAAACAGTGATCCAGAACAAACTTACTTTTTTAGGTCTAATTTATCAAAAAGGTTTAACTGCATAATTTTGCACTGGCAGTCTGCATGCCAGATCAGGGGTATCACTCCATGCCATTCTAACATTATGTCATATCAAATTATTTTTGTCCTTCCACAGCCGATATCAAGCTACTATACAGTCATGAAGCCAATGTAAACTCCATATTGCGTGCTGTGACTACTGTCAATTGTGAGCCTATTCCTTACCTGGGTTAGATTTGCACTACTGAGCGTGGAACCACGGCCTCCTTCACTTTAATATTAAAGGTGAGCAGCAAGGACTAAAGGTTCTTCAGTGCACAGCCATGCATGTGAATGCTTCTCTTACCCGCTGCTTGGTTTTGATCACACATAAGCACACATCACACTTGTGTGATTTAGAAGCAGATTCAGCCAGCCGTGCCCCCTGCCCAAACTTCATAGGTGACTTCCTATTCTTTCCAGTTATTGTTACATAAAGGAATATTTAATTGCTCTTTCCACCTAGCCTGAAGGAAGGGAGTTTAGAATATCCATAAGCTGTAACAAGGTCTGTAATTTTCTGCTTAATAGCAGCCATTTACACTTTTGGCATAACAGTATCTTGCAGCAGTTTATCCTATCTTTTTAGGGAAAAGTGATCTTCTAAGAGAATATTAAGGTCAGTTTGTGGTTTAATGAACATTTTTAGAAGAGTCAAAACATGTTGGACAAATATAAAGGTGAAAAAGAAAACAAAGCAAATGTAACGGAAAGATTGGTAGTGAATTTTAAATCTGTGCTTAATTTCCAGCGCAAACTTTTGACCCAAGCATTCAGCCACAATGCTGGTCAATCAAGTTGTCTAGTCAGGAGGAGAAAGTACTGATGGATTTTTCAAGGAATTCCTGTTCCTTTTCCTCAAACGTACAAAGACTTTTCACAGACTGCACAAAGAATGAAACAGTAACTACAAGGAGACAGGTGAAACTTGAAGGCAACTGACAAAAGCACCTAAAGCCCAAGTCTTGTTGCTAATTGAGAACTTCTATTATTGATTAGAGTCTCTCTTGAAAAAGGACCTTGAACTGTTGACGTGTTTTAGACAACTTCTAGTTCAGAAGATGGAGAAAACTACTGGAAGCACTTGAAAAAAAATCTTGATTAAGTAGAACTAACTGTAAATAAAAAGATGGGAGTGATTAACAGGAAAGGAGAGAGAGTTACTGAAAGAGACTCATTGGCAAAACAGCAAACCATCGTAATGTGGAAGAAAGCTAGGAAGCATATTAAAAGACCAACATGAAGATGAACGGGAGTACAATATAGCTGTACCAGGAGCTTTAAAAATACATAAACAGTCTTTCTAAATTGTGCAAAAAGTGGAAAAGAGCTCACAACTAGAAAGGAGTACAATGGAGTGGCACAGGCATGTAGGAACAAAAATGAGACACGTATAAAATGAGTTACAGTAAGAAAGGAGCAGAAAAGGATATAAGAACATGTACTATAGATGCACACTGGAAGTAAGAGCAAACTAAAAGAAAATCGTGTTTATTATTGACAGAGAAAGAGAACAAATAAAGGAAGGCACAGAAAAAGTAGTGTCTTCTTTGCTTCAGGCTTCAAAAAATGTGAATCGTGACCAGTTACTAAGCCCAATTTATTTTAAGAAGATGATGGAAACAGGTAACAGCGGGAAAGAACAGACTAAATAGTATTTAGTTACGTAGCTATTCCAAGTTTGGCAGTGCCTGGAAAATGCACCCCAGGGCACTTAAGAGACTGGCCACTGAACTTTTTGAATAACTGGTGTGTATCTACAAAATTCATTGCATTTGAGGGGCAGGAGGCATTGACTGGAGGAAGGGGGAGAAAGGTGGACTCATGAACGGAAACCACTTGACCTAACTTCAAGGTCCAGGCAGATAACAGACCCATCAACATATAAGCACTTTGAAAATGAGGCGGTTTAAAAAGTAGCAAATCAAGAAGTCACTATGAATTTCTCAAGAACAGGGGGAATAGCTGTTCAGGTAACAATACTCCTGAAAGGGATCTGGGGATTATAGGTCATCAGAAAAAAGAATCTCAATCAACACTGTGATGTTATTGCAAAGTAGGCAAATGCCATACTAAGATAGGCTAGCCCTGAGTATTGGATATAGTTGTAAGGAAAAGTGTCAAGATCAGACTAAGAATGATAAAAGGCTTAGAAAATATCACCTATGAGGAGTTTTCCAGAATGTGTTTAGTCTAGAAAAAAGGAAGTTTACAGGAGGGACATGATAATATTATGTTGCAACATCTAAAATGTTACTGTAAATTGATGGTGATTAACTGTTCTCTACATCTGCTGGAGGTTGGGTAAAGAAAATCTACTTAATCCACACCAAAATAACACAGTTTAAACATTGGGGACAATTTTTTAGTTCTAAGGACCGTTAAGTGCCGAAACAAGCTGTCTAGGAAGATCACACACCCTCCTTTGTTATAGGTTTTTAGGAAGAGGTTAGACTGACTTTTGCCAAGGATGAAGTTGCGCCTCAGGGCAGCAGCTCCTGTTTTAAGTCCTAGTTGCAAAGTCCTTCAGTCCTAAAGGTGACATCAGTAACTGCTCGGTGCTTTTCTCAAAAAAACCAAAACAAAATAAAACAAAACAAAGTAAATGACGGAAACTCTGATGGAAATTGCAACGATTAGTCAAGATGGAACCAGGAAGAAAGCTTCATCAGGGCAGAGGTCTGTGTCTCTGAGGCCCCCTTACAGCCTACCTTAAACTCATGGGCCCAGATCCAGAAAGATCTTAGGTGCTTCCAGTGAGACTCAGCGCAACTGTTGGCCATCTACAGCTAAAGGCACGATCCTGAAAAACCCCTGCCCAGCCCTTGCCCAATCCCAGAGGCAATGACACGCTACAGTCACCTAAGTTTCCCAACTACAGAGGTTTATGCCCCGAATTGTCACGTTGTGACGGGACAGGACAGCCCTGCGCCCCGTGAGGAGCGGCCGCGCATCCCTCCGCGTCTCCGGGCGCGGAGGCCCGGGCTCCTCCTCGGGAAGCGCGCTTGCTGTCGAGGCCACGCTGTCAAAACCGGGCTAGGTGAGCGAGCCCCTGCTGCCCTTCCTCTGCGTGATTTGTTAGGGGCTAAACACAAAAATCACCGTGCAGAAAACAGCTCAACTCATTCTCCTCCTGCCTCAACAGATTCCCCCCCCCCCCCACACCCACACACAAAGCC